TCCTAGTCTATTTTTCAAGGTAGCTCAAATACTGCTTTTTTTACAAAGCTTTTCTTGATCCTCCTGGCTGAACACAAATCACTTTCTAAGTTTCACAAAATTTTATCTGTATCAATCTTATAATATTTTGTCCTGGCATTACAGATCTTATGTGCATCATTTCTTATTTTTTTTTCTTTTAGTTTGATTCACTTGTTGCTCTCCCTATTCTCAGAATAGTCCTGACATGTAATAACGCTAAATCTCTAGAGAAGGGCATTATGGAATTACATCACAAAAGCTTTATTACAACCCAATTCAATAGCTATTTTCATCCATTACTATCAGATAAAATACTTGATGAACCTTAAGACAGATTTTTTTTTTTTATCTGAAGAAGCTGACAGTCTAGGGAGATAGACTAGGGTATATTAATATCCCCAGAAAAAAAGATGCAGAAAATTAGGCCTCAAAAAGTAATTTGTTTGCCCAGAATCACATAGTAGGAAAGTGACAAAGTCAGAATTGAATCCAGCTAACCAGACTGGATATTCAGGACTCTATACATATAACCCACTGTGTTCTAAAGGAGACAACTGATAAACAGGGAATGAAAAGCTCTGAATACTTCTGAAATGAAGGATGACCTCAAGTATGATGAAGGATTTCACTCCTTTTTGAGGGAAAGCTGGAAATCTACAAAAGCAAAGAGGTTGTAATAGTGGCCTAACACTCACTGGATAGCTCACTGCTGCTCATCAAGCCCATGTTTGACTTGCTTGTTCTCTCAGAGTGAGCCCCACGGCACAGTGTTTCTTAAGAGGTCTTCATGGGCATCAAGGCTTTGCTGCTCACTAGGAGGTGTACTTGAGATACCAACTGAGCTCATCTGCCAGACAGTGGAGTAAATGGTAGCCAGCGTTTCTTACTTTAACTTGGTGCAGTTATTCTTTTTTTTTTTTTAACCAACTCAAAGAATTTATTTTTGACAAATACATAACCTCAATATGAGATGTCTAACTAAAACAAGCACTTCCAAAGAGTCCAAGACAGTATCTCTTCTTCTAAGGTTTAGCTTTTGCCTAGAACTCCCGATACATGGAATTGCCCATACCAAAGGTCACTGCGCCCACAACAAAGCCTTGGGCTGCTACACGCATGTGGATCAGGTGCACAGACATTGTAGCATTTCCCCTGCTCTTCAATCTGTATAATCTATATGCGACAATTGCTGCAAAGCCTGCCATTCCAATAGGGACAAATGGTGCCTCTTTCGCTTTTCTGATGTTTAAATTCCTCATCTTCATCGTACGAAGAAAGAGAAACTTCCATGTTGCTTGACATGGTGACTGCCTGAAGAGTCTTCCGAAAGTCACAGAACAACCCGAACTCCGGTGCGGTTATTCTTGAAGGGTGGATCCAGACTCCAAGTGCCCTCCAAGAGAGTATAGATCCGTCCTTCCATGGGAGGGAAGAGGATTACACCTACAACCCCTCAGGCGCCCCCTCCTCCTGGGACAGGAACCCTGGTCTTGCGTCTCCATCCCGACCTACCAGACAGCCGGGGCCCTCCTCCTCCAAAGCATGTGTCCACCATATGCTTTGGCCTAAACACCTGTGCAACAAACCTGTTTTTGGATAGCGATACCTCTAACTGTAAACCAGCAGAAAGTGCCCTGGAGGCACTTATCTCAAGTCCTGTTTTTGTTGTTGTTTTGTTTGTTTTGTTTTTTGACAGGGTCTGGCTATGTAGTTCCGGGTGGCCTTGAACTCAAGCCCAAGATGGCCTGGAACTCACCGATGATCCCCTTGACTTCGGCTTCTCCCTCACCCCCACCCCTGCCCCTCACCTCTCACCCTTACCCCCGACCCCCCAGCGCCCCCAAAGCTGTCCCAACACTCTTGACAACCCGGCTCCACACCTGAGGTAACGAAGATCTCTAAGGCCGAAGCGCTGATCGCGTAGGCATTGGCTGAGGACTCGACCCCGCCCCCACATGCGGACACAGAAGGCCTCTGAGGCACCGGCGCGCATCCCCAGCCCCGCCCCTCCTGGCCATCCACCAATGGCCTGCTGCGCCGGTGCCTCGCGCTCCAGACCCCGCCCCCTGGAGTCGCTGGGCGCATGCGCCACGTTGAGTGGGCTGGGTGAGGGGCTTCCCGGTGGGGAGGAAGGGCGGAAGTGGAAAGGGAAGATGGGCGCAGCCTCAGCTCAGGCCGGGAGCCAGCTGGAGTGTTGCTTGGGGAGGAAGGGGCACTGGTGGTCGCCAGGCTAGTCGAGGCCGGGGCTTCCACTCGGAGCCGGCGATTGGCGGCCCACTAACCCGGCCGGGTTTCTATGTATGTGCCCGCCCAGGGAAACATGGAAACCTGTTTGGCTGCGGCGGCGCTGAACGGGGTGGACAGACGTTCCCTGCAGCGCTCGGCCCGGCTGGGTCAGGAAGTGCTGGAGCGGGCCAGGCGGAGGGCAGTGGACTGGCACTTCCAGGAGCGCCCCGCGGGCGGCGTGGGGGACCTTTCCCGGGAGGGGCCCTCCAGAGGAGGATGGCGGGCAGCCGAGCCCCGGCGCCTTCTCCGCGCAGAGGTGAGGGCCCCGCAGACATCAGGACCGCTCAGGGAAGCCGTCCGAAAACTTTTGACAGGTTCAAAAACTGGGCGCTGTGGGACAGTTGTTGAATGTTATGCTTGGCTCTGTTGGTTACTTTTTTATTGTAAAGTTCTTACACGCTACATTCTGATATTAGAGGAAACTAACGAAGCTACTTTTTTGGTCCTTTATAAGTCAGTTTCTGTCTTATTGCTGTCTGTTAGGTCAATCTCGGAATTCCTTCTCAGGCCTTCTTACTAACTTAAACTTGCACAGGCCTTTACAAAAATGAAGAAGTATTTTAAAAATTCATGCTACAGTAGGAAATCCTAAGTCTCACGTGTGATGTGCCATTTATTCAAATAGAGAGAAGACAGCCATGTGACCCTTAATGCTTCCTTCAGAATAATGGCTGAATTCATGGACTATACTTCCAGTCAGTGTGGGGTAAGTTATAATCTGTAGGATTCTCATTGGTCTCTTGGTGTACCCGGGGAAAAATGGTGGCAGGAATGAGGAAAAGATAAGACAAGAGGTGAGTCCTTGCCTGATTGGCAAATGACCCTTAGAACAACAGTAGGGTTTATTTATGCTTTTGCAAAGTTGATGTCACGTGACACAAGGTTGCCTAGTGACTAACAGCCGACTTTAACCAGGAAGGATGCTCTTCTCAGGACTGAGGTAGCTTGGCTGCTTTAGTGCTTTAGGCACCAAGACCTAGTCCTGCTCTCACACATTTGATCAATTTCCACCTTCAGCGACTCCCAACAGTAACCGTCCCAATTGCATGCCAATTGATCATAGGATCTTTCTGGATTTTAGGGATAATTAGGATACTCCTGTATCCCCTGCCTGCACATCTTCATTGGCAAATTGTAATCAGCAATAAACATGGCGGAAAATCCCAAATTAGAATTCATCAAACAACAACAAAATTCATCCACCAAATACTTGTTGAATTCCTAACCCTGGAATTATTATTGAGGATATGATAGTGAAAAGTCAGAAAATGTCTCTACCCTCATTGAGTTTTCAGTCTATGTGGGGGGGTTACTTTGAACTGAGGTTTTTAAAAAAAATCTCTTGGATCACTCTTTAAGATGTACTGGAACAACATCCTAACATTAAATCTTAACATCTAATGTTTGTTTTCAGTCCCTGGCGAGATAGTTAGGTATGTCTCAGTGGGTCATTCAGCCGGTGACAAATGTCATCCTGTGCAGCAGATGCAGTTCCTTCATCAGGTGTTGGTTAATGGCAGGAGGAGCTTCAGGTAGCCAAACCCATGTTCTGCCACTTACTGGTATAATGCTGGTATAAGAAATTAAGCCAGTTAATTTCTTTCAGCCTTACCTAAGAAGGGTGACTAAAGTGGTAAGAAGCAGGGGAAAACATTTAGGACATGAAGCTATGCTGTATTTTAGCTTCCCTTCATAAAATTAAAAGTTCTAAAAATCCTCTCCAGTCTTTATGACCTTTTCTTTTTTATCTCCACTGGAGATAATGGTTTCTACCACCATATTATGATTAACTCTAACATGTGATTTAAGTGATTTTTTTGGAGTACCTTTCTTCTTTTATTGTGTAGTACTGGGAATTGAACCCAGGGGTGCTGCACCACCAAACTATATCTCAACCACTTTTTTGTTTTAGTCTCTAAGTTGCCCGGACAGGATGTGAACTTGTGATCCTTCTGCTTCAGCCTCTCTCATTGGTAATGTTGCAGGCAGCCTGAGTTAGATAGAAAGTTGCAGGCAGTCAGACAGGGTCAGGCCCTCAAATGAATAATAGTGGCCCTCGAAGGATATAACAACAGCCAGGCTCCTCACAACTGTGGGAAGGATGGAGGACACTGCTGTAAATCGAACCTAAAGACTGGCATGCAGGATTGATCATTACTAAGGAAGAATTATTGTCTGAAGGCCACCCGATAAGGTCCTATTTCACATTTATGCCTGCTTACTATGTGATTCACTACCCCATTTGGTCTTGAGACTAATCAATTTTACCTGAGCAAATGGTGCTTGTAATCCCATTGGATGACCATAGTTTTGTCACACCCTGTATCCGCCTAAGCGAGACCCCTTTGTCTCTCTCTACCTTAGCCCCGCCTGGTTTTGCCCTATAAAGATAACCTGAAAGAGACAGCTACCTGGGTAACCCACTCGGGTCCCCCTTCTGTCCCTCTCCGACAGAAGCTTTCCTTTCCAATAAAGTTTTACCCTCAACCTCCATTTGTTCCTAAAATTCATTCTTCAGATTTAGAGAACATGAACTCATCCAGGCCAGGTTGGGAGTTTCACTTCCCTATATCAGTATGATTACAGTATGCAACCACCTGCCTGGCTTTAGGTGTGTTCATTAAAATGAGTGACTGCAGATTATAAACTCCCTCTTTTAACATTTATACACTTAGATCATTTTTATGTACTTTGAGGCAGTGGTCAAGGTGGACCAGCCAACACTGAAGGAAATCACCTGTGTGGAAGGTGTTCTGTGTCTTCCCCAAGTCAGAGTGCACTGGTCTGTCTCAGGCTTAACATTTTGTAAGTCTTTCATGCCTTAAGGATACTGGTCAGTAAGGGAGAGGGAAGAGAATACCTTTTTTTGTCCTGCTTTTGGGTTTTGTTAAGATCCAAAAAACTAATTTTAATCTTTTTACCTCTTTTACAAAAATTCCAGTAACTCCAAGAATAGAGTTCCAGTCAGTGAGATATAAGTCAGAGAATATTTTTATGTTATTTGTACTGAGGTGCTTGTAGAAAAATCGGTAACTTCAGCTGTACTGTAAAGTAATTAAACACTTGATTCATGATTCATTCAAAGCAACAATATTTGTCCTTGGTTTTAAGGTTGTTATTTTTTTTTTAACATATTTTAGTACAGGCTCTCACTAAACAAATTGGACTTGTAGTGATCCTCCTGTTTTCAGCCTCCCAAGCTCTGGGATTATAGGCACATGCCACCACGCACAGTCTCAATGGCCATCTCAGTGCATCCCGGGGGCAGGGCTGGCAGGAACAACGGGGATCGAACCTTGGTCCCTGCACCTGTCTAAGCAAGTGCTTTAATCTGAGCTATTTGGCCGCCTGGTTTTATGTTTTTCAGATTGGTGTCCTTCGTGTTGGTTTTCAGTTCATGCTTCAATTCATTTGTTACAGAATGGAGTTTTGGAACCCCTGGATGTCCTGGAGATTTAGTATTCAGGGTTTGCTTCCACAATTTTGAAGCAGCCCCTAAAACGTATTGTTAGATCCATGTCCTCAAGTGCTTTCTCTTGCTTCTAATTATTCTAGTCACATGTCTTAGACAGTGTCCCTACAGTATGTCCAAAACAAGCAGGCTTGGGATGCCTTCATTATTAGTCAGAATCAAAGGCAAATCTAAGGTTAATTTCAAGGTCAAGGAATGAAATAGACAAGAAAAATGTAACCAGGCCCTTTGGATTATTTCTAACCTGGAGGCCTCTCCTTCTACTCCCCTGCATGGGAAGCCTAAGGGAAGTGCTGAAAAACTCTTAGGTTCTGTTTCCTGATGTATCTCAGGGAAAGGAAACCCCCCCTACCCCTGTCTTCCCAAATCCTTGTCTAAGACAGTAAACATGGAAGTGTTCATAATTTGTTAGATGAGGAAATGAAAGGGTTTGTGTATTGATATTTGGCATTGCAGCCAAGATGTGAAAATTTTTTAACATGGGAAAGAGCATGCTCTATCCTGGCCAGAGGTCTTGCCCTACAGAGGCAGCAGATGGCAGCAAAGTAATGGCACATGTGGTTCCCTTTCCTGCAGCCAGTGTACATGAGCTGTCATGCTCTGGAACTCAAGAGGCTGTCCAAAGGACAGGTTATTACCTCTGCTGTCTTCCTTCCCTCTTTAACCACACTTGGCCCACCTATCAGAGAGGTGTTTTGTTTTTTGGAAATTCAACCAGACTAGTTATCCTGTGTCTTTCACATTACTTCCCTAGAAATATTATTCATTGGTGCCCGAGGAAGGAGGGGCAACCCACGTCTATCGTTACCACAGAGGGTCATCTCAGCAACACGTGTACTCAGACACAGGGTTTGATCAGGTATGTGTTGCCACGTTCTGCACTGCCTGCAGCTCTTGAGGGTAAACCTCTGGGTTTGGGAGCTTCTGCTGGCTTCTTGCCTCTTGTCAAGGATAGTGGTCCTCAGAAGTGTATTTGTTGCTGAACCTGAGAGAATTTACAACAATGAGCATGAAGCAGTGATTTCACTTTACTGTGGTATCTGTGGATGAACTTGCAATTCTGGGGGGTAATTGGACAGGCTTAAAAAGCTTCACATGTCCTTTTCTAAATGCAGGGATAGGAAGGGTTTTTAATAATTATATATCTTACTATGAGGTAATGATAACTGTCATGTGTTTGGTAATTTTTAAAAAGGAAGTGCAAAGAGGGGAAAAATGCTTTCTCTAAAAATAGTGGTTGTAGGCCTCTTACTGCAGACTTGCCTGCCTTTTACTGGGTATCATTGTGAGAAAGCTGAAGGTTCTACTTGTCGAACAGTAGCTGATGGCAGTAGTAGTTTTGGCTTTTTTTTTTTTTTTTTTTTTTTTTAATACTGAGAATTGAACTCAAGACCTTGCACATGCTAGGCAAGCACTATACCACTGAGCTAGTTCCCCAGTCCTTTTTATTTTTTGAGATAAGGTCTCAGTAGGTTGCCTAGACTTACCTCAAACTTGAAAGCCTCCTGACTAGCTGAGGTTGCAGGCATGTACCACCACCATGCCCAGACGCAGTGGTGGCTCTTGAGGAGAGGAGGCTTTTGGTGTTTTTGTTTTTCTTAAACTTCCCTAACTGTACTTAAAGATAGCAAACTTAAGTCTAGAGTCTGATCCCCAAGTTGGACTCCCAACTTCTCTGACCTAATGGGCCTTCTTGGGGTGATGGAGCAGAGGGTTTAAGAACAGTGGGGGTGGTGAGCACCTGTATGTGAGCAAGGGCTGAGCACAAGCTGGAAGCACCCCCTGCGCCCCTTTCTCAGATGTGGAGAGCCTCCATTCTGGGTTCCCTTTGCCAGCCTGTGCTGGGGGCTTTCTTCAGTGCACCTGATCTTCAGAGATCACACATGGGGAAGAGTCATTCCTCTCTGTCCTTATAAAATGTAAATTGGTGGCACTAAGAGAATTGACTTTATCAATCCTTTCCCTTCTAGTGCCCCAGTTCTAGAAGAAACACCGAAGAGAATTTTATTTTCTGAGAACTTAAGTGTCATCACCTTACACTTTAAATCTTCCCGAAAACCACTTTCCCATAGTGTAGACTCGGAAACCAAGGCTCAGAAGTTAGATCAATGCCTCTTAGTAAAGAGCAAGGAATAGGATTTAAACTCAGACCTGTCTGACAGCGAAATTAATCATGATAAACAGCTCACAAAACACACAGAATTTACTAAAAAGATCCTTAGGAAGGTAAGTAGCAACATAGAAAAAAGTGTACACAACAATTCTAACAAGGTGGGAGAACTTTTCTCCTTATAATGCGGAACACAAAGCTTGGGCACTGATTGGTATTTCTGTTTGTCTCTTCAGAGAACAGACAGAGAGAAGACATCCTTCAATCCAGGAGGCATCTACCAAACACCAGAGCCCGCTTCTGAGGCCTCCCAGCCTGTGAGTATGGGCCCACACACTGGGCTTCTCCAACAACAAGATTCCACAAGCCAGTTGCCCTCTTAATTGTCAGGCTCTCTGTTTGAACTGGATCTGTGATATGTTTAAGTTCTTACGGAGGAGGGTGCACAAATTGGCAAAGTTGTTTTCTTGTTATCCTCCTTTCACTGAGTGCTTCAGCCGTGCTCTTGTGTCTGAACTCAGAGTTGTGGTTGGAAGGAATGTGAAGTATTCATATCTCAGTTCCTACAGCTCAGCTGGGCTGGCATTGGGTCCAGCTGGAATTCCACCATCTGTTTAAGCAGCTGGAAGGCCTGACCCTCCTCCTTAGAAAGTGCAGCCATTCCTGAAATCCTGAAACATACCCGTTTGGTGAGACACCAGATTCAGAAACACTGTGAGATACTAGCTGCCTTACTTCATAAGTGTTTCTCTGGAAAAAGACGTAATGATGAGTTTTTCATTTTTAGGATTAAGTACTCATTAATTTATGAAACAGAATTTTTTGGAACTTGGAAGGGCTGAAATTCTGAGAAAAGGAACTTGAACATGTTGTTACAATAAATTCCTTATTTTTTTGTTTGTATAGTTTGCTTCAGGCCAGGATCTGGCCTCTACTGGAGTCCATAGCTACTAAGAATACTCCAGTTCTAGGACAAATCTGAGTTGGTAGGCTTAGACATGTCCACTGTTGCTCCCTGTGGGTCGCGCTGGTCTTCCTGACACTCCCGTCTCAGCTCGGAGTTGCCTTGTATGCAGACAAATGAAGCAGCTGTGGCGGCTGTGATTTCTTTCATAGCTATGTTTTCATAACCCTACTTTTGTGTACACAGTTAACAACCAATAAATAGTTGTGGCATTGTCTTATATAATCAAATTGTTTAAATGAAAATAAATCTTCTAGTTTGTAGTAACTACCAGTAGGTGTGAAAGGATATAAAATAAAGCAGTTTTTGAAAAAATTGCCTTTGCATCTACCTAAAGGAAGGCAAGGAGAGAGCTGAGTATAAATATTCTCGCCTATTCCTACTAGAGGAACTTGCTGGCCAGTGGTTTGGGTTGTTTTCCCATGTGTGGCTTTAGAAATGACATTTTCTGCCTGGGGCTCTCTTCTGAGCACTGAGCAAGCATGTGGTGGTATCCGAGCTGTCACTTGGCTATTACTCTTTTCTGGTTTGGAACTTTGCCCTCCACCAATTGAATTGAGATCCACCTTCTACCTGCCACATCCACCTTGGAGGACAGTTTGTGCCCAGCTCAGCTGTAAACGTGAGTCTTTCCATTGACTCCAGGTTTCAGTGCTTTGCACCGTGGAGAGCCAGTCCTCTAAGGCAGGCTTTTGCCAGCCAGCTCCCTCGCTGCTCCAGGGACAAAGTAGCATCCACTCTTGTTCTTGGTGTTAGCAGCAAAGAAATCCTTCATCTTCCCAACAATGAGTTCAGCAAAGCGCAGTGAAAAAGAATAGTTCTCATTTTTCTAAGGGATCTTGCCGTTACTGCCATTCTCTGCTCACAAGAGCCACTGTCCACTTTTGATCTCCAAAACAATGGCCATTATTCTTTCCATCTGCCCAATCCTTACTCTAGCTAGAGTGTTCTTATAATCTTTCACGTGCCTGTAACACATTACCATTTACAGTGTGTTTTCATATGCTTATTTGTGAGGTAGGTGTTATCACAGCTTTAGAAATAAGGAAACCAGAAAAGTGAGGCTGAATTTTAATTTAGGAACAGTAGGGCCAAGCTGAGTCTTGAGTGCAAGAATTTTTTTTTTTTTTTTTTTGGGCAGAACCAGGGATTGAACTCAGGCTCTTGTGCTTACTAGGGAAGCACTTATTCTACTGAGCTATCTCCCTGGCCCCACGTGAATGCAAGACTCTTATTTGTACCTCATTGCATTATCCCTTTGGCATGAAAAATAGTCTTGTAGAGGTGCCGTGGTGTTCTAAGATAAAAAGTCTCAAAAAAAGAAAAAACTGAATTAAAAAATTTTAGGGGCTGGGGAGATGGCTCAGTGGAATAAGCGCTTCCCTGGCAAGTGCAGGGGCCTGAGTTCAATCCTCGATTCTGCAAAAAAAAAAAAAAGAAAAAACAATTAAGATAAAAAGTCTCTAACTGCTATGTTCTGTCTCCCTTCCAGGCCAAGCACATCGCTAAGGACCTCTACATAGAAGTGTATCCAGGGACCTATTCTGTCACTGTGGGCTCAAATGCCTTAACCAAGAAGACTCACGTGGTAGCAGTTGATTCAGGGCAAAGTGTGGACTTGGTCTTCCCTGTATGATGTTGGCTGCCACTATCACCACATCACTTTTTAAGTAGGCAGAAGAATAAAGCCACCAATGACTTTCTTAATCATCATGCCTTAATCCTGTTTCTAGTGCTGACCATAGCAGGTCAGCCTCCTGGGAGCTGCAGTCCATCTCTGTCAGTGCCCATGTTAACCTGAGAGCATAGAACTCCCTGTCTCATTTGCCTATGTGTAATAATGTGATGAAGCAGTCTGAATAGTTTTTACTGCTTGCTTTCAAAGTAAAGATTAATTATGTTAATAAAGGGAGAGGTTTGGAAGCAAAGATAATTCATTTTTATTGGTATTTAAAAATACAATATCCCTATGTACAAACTGTAGGCTTTATAAAAAGATGGCAGAGACGTCATGAACACATTCCCAAAGCTGGCCAACCAGACACTGGCTTCTGTGGGGAAGGTGTCCTCCAGTGGTCCCACCAGGCCCTTGACAAGGAGTGCTTGGACAAGGCCGCCAGCTCCTGCAACTGCCCTCCTGCTGCTCATCTCCAGGAAGGTCTTAAGTGGGTGAAATCACAGGTGCCCATTTGCTTCTCGCCTCCAGTATGTGCGCTACCTCTTTCCATTGAAGGCCAATCAGCCACTCTTGGAACGCTCCTCAAATATTTGCCGTGCCTGCCTTTTCATTTCCTGTGGGGGAAGAAAAAATCCTGACAGTCTTATGCTGACTATAATTTCAAGAATGAGAAATCACTGATTTTGAAGAAGTCACTGATGTCTCACACTTGCTAAGCTGGCACACCAAAAGTATGATTGCATCTCCCAGTTTAGTTGCCCAGTGACTCATCCCATTTTGAACATAGCAAGTCTTAGGGAAAGTGCCAGTATTTTATGTGATGAAAGCAAAGTTGAACAGGACTATGTTCGAATTCCTACAAGAGCAGACTCCCATTGACAGAGGGCCTAGGAAAATAGACCTGTATCCAGCAGTGTAGGGCAAAGGGTCACTGAAACATGGGATCCTTGCATCCTCCAGGAAGCCTCAGATGAACTTAATGGGTTCTCTAGACAATAAATGTGAAGCTGTGGCTGTGTGCAAATTTCAGGAAAAGTAGACCATGGGCCTTACCACTTTTTTAATTTGCTCAGTTTATTTCGTATTTTTATTTTTTCTATAACTTTATTCGCCTTACCACTTTTAGAGGGAGTGTATTCCTCAGAAGGTCTAGGAACTATGTAAGGAGTCCCTAAGAAGTTCTTCCCCAGCCTTACCTAGATCCTAGGGGCTTTTGGTTTTGGATGTACTCTTATCCTGCTGATGCATTGTGATACTTGGACCCAGTTTTCTGTGTTGAGCTCCCTGTAGCAGTTGCAGTGCCTTCATATTGGTTGGCCTTAGTAGTTCCTTGGTAGTCCCAACTACTGCAACTTGCACTTTCTCTTGTTTGTTGTCATTTTCCTTCCCGATGTTGTGACATCTTATTCCTAAACCCAAAATCATTTTAGTCATGTTGGATGTGCCACATTTTTAATGAGATTTGTCTTGATGACAAATAGAACTATATCACAGATTACATCGTAGTATCTCTAAGCTCCTATCGTTTTCTATTTTAAAAGAGAAATAAGGTTTATTAATCTTGTCTGGCCATTGTGCATTTGGGAAATGTTACTGTCTGATACCCAAATTTAGGTCTTAGGTGAGGAGCTGTCACCAGTCAAAGGAACTTCTATCCTTCATAGTGCTGTGAGGAACACCCATAGTAGTGATCACAAGAAGATAGTATGTTGATAGGAAAAACAAGTTTTAAGATACTTCTCTGGGAGGCTGCAAATCTTGGGAGGTTTGCAAATTCAAGCCTAGCCTGGGCAACTTAGTAACTTGATGAAACTGAAAGAAGAAAGAAAAGAAAGAAAAATGTGAGTTCTGAGGGATAGGAGAGCACTAACAAGCACACCAAGTACAGAGACACATAAATGTAATCATAGCACTTGGGAGACTGAGGCAGGAGTATCACTGGATTTAAAGCCAGCCTGAGCTACAGTGAGACCCTGTCTTGATAAGTAAAAATGAAATGGAAGGAATACCTTAAATTTGCTTTAAAACTACAGACAATCCTGCTCCCATCGTTTTCCAGGTGAAAAGGGACCATGAAGGCCAGCCGCCCACAGTCTGGAAGGCCACAGGCTGGCCTCCCCAACAGTAGATCAATGATGCCTCACTGCCTGTGACTGAGAAGAACTAAAGTGTGGGGGCAGAAGGACCCATCCAGGAGGCTCCTGAAGGGGAGTGCTCAAGACTATCAAGCATCAGTACTCAACAGAACTGACATCTAGTACTGATTAAATACCAGTCATAGGAGAAGCAAAGCAGCACACTTCCTTAAAAGAGTAGGAAATCTGGAGAGAAAAAAAGAAAAGATCATTTGCATTGTTTGCATCCCTGGTCACATGCATTCTTATAAATTCCCATCATTGCTACTTAGCAGTGACAAGCAGTACCATGTCTTCAGCAAGAGCTGGGGATGCTCTGGGACCCCACCCAGTGACACGGGTCAGCCCTTGGAATTAACTTTCCCTAGAATGTAACAGAAGATGTGGTTCCTGAAGATACCTTATTTATCTTTATAACATCAGAACATATTTTTTTTTGAGAAAAATCTTTGGAATGAATCTGTTTAACGTAGTGTTGGGAAAGTGACCTAATGTGGGTCTAAGTGGCTTTGAGCAGTGGAGATGACAGCAATGCATGCTTAGGGCCAGGGTCAATTTGTTTGGACTTAACAGGGTTTGGAACCACTTTAGAGATTGCTATAGAGCAAGCTGCAGCAGTGGGAACCCCGTGTCTTGACTACCATGGCTCCTGCCGCCCCCCCCCCCCCCCGTTGTTCCTCTCCTCATGCTGGGACTGGTGCTGTCCCAGCTGCTCCCAGACTCCTCTCTCAGACTGGTATGCCTTTTCTATCTCCAGGCTGTGTTGAAGCAGGAGGCCGTGAAAGCTATGCAAACGTTAGCATGAAAACTAGATTTTCTATAATCCCAGCACTTGCAAGCCTGAGGCAGGATTGCTAGGAGTTCGAGACCAGCTGTCTTAAAAACAACAACAACAAAAAAAAAACCAAACACTAGATTTGGGGCACAATTCTCTTTATATCCTCACTTGCTATGGAGGCAGATCTCAGAAACAGCTGTTTCTAAATAGCCGTTGCCAAGGCTTGTGACTGTGAGATCAGTGGACTCCACAGAAACCAGTGTCTTTCCCCTCCATTTTATATTTTCAACACAGAATTTCCTTTTGGAGGGAGAAGGAGCTCAGCAGGCCACAGATGGGGTTTTGTCCTTCTGTTTCCCAATGTGAGGCTGGAGAAAGAACCCATGCCTTGGAAGCTAGAGAAAGCCTGCCAGCTTCATGTGAAATACTGCTGCAGCAGGCTTATATCCACCCAATCGGACCAAAGCCCAGGGATCCCAGAAGACACCCAAGAAAGTTTATGATTAAAGAAATAGTTGTTCAAACTTTCTAGAACTGAAGTCTAATTTATAACTAAAGTCCTTTCCCATGGAACAAGAGCGAGCAATCCTAACTGTCCTGGAAAAAGGACAGTGTCTTCACAAGGACTCGGTGTGGGCCCAGTGTGGGCAGTGCCTTGAGACCCTGAAGCTTTAGCATCTTAGCCTGCCTCCACTGCCCTTCACTGGATGTCACATTAGTGACCCTGGGATCCCCAGAGTCTAGCCTAGGACGAGGCATATCCAAGCTACCTCTCGCATAGCTCTGCCAACTGGCCTAGGCGCCACTGGGAATTTACACAGGATGGGTAAGGGGCTGATCCCCAAACCTACCACAGCATGTCCCACAGCCCCTAGTTCAAAGGAGAGAAGCTGCGGGTGACAGCCACGGACAACTCAACAATGCTTCCTTGCTGGTTGTAAAGAATGGGCAGTGGTTCTTCCCACTCTAGGGTCCCCATCTGGAGACTGGAGCCAGATGGACAATGTTTAAGGACCAATTTCTGTGCTTCTTGGGGCATGACACTAATCACCTGGATACATTTTAACTGTTCAAATCAAGGCCTCTAAGGAGCAAAAATAGCCAACAGGAGAGCTCAGTCAGTGGGCCAGGGAAAAAGACAGGTGTTACACATAAATCTTAGCACAAAGCTCAGCTAATCCTGCCTATCATTTGTAGCTGGAAGGGAAGCTGACCACTTCCACACTTCCTCATGTCAGCCTTCCCAACATTCATTATTCCCAAACCAGCAGAATGGGGAGGTGCAGCAGGTTCCTAAGGAACACAGAAATCAAGCCAGCAGCCCCCTCTCGGACGATGAGCCCTCATGCTTGGTCTACCTGGCTTCCTAGGACGTGGCTCCGGCCCGTTCCTCCTCCAGTACCTCCACTCGGGCTGGCGGAGGCTGCTCTGTCTCAGAGGCCTCTCAGGGAGGATGGGGTCAGTGTTCACTGCGCTGTTCACCACCAGTCTCTGGGGAAGGCCGATTTCCAGATTATCCTCCAAATCTTCTTCACAGGAGGAGGAGGAGGAAGAGGAAGAAACAATGGGGACAGCATGCACTGCTACCGGCTCCTCTTTAGGGCCTTCAAGGGGCAGAAGTTGTGCTGTAGGCTTCAGCTCTGACTCTGGCTGTTCTCTGGCTGTGGTATCTGAGGTCCTAGTAAGAGGCCACCAGGTGGAGCTCATCGAGGGACAGCAGCAGAAGTGGGCCTGACACAGCAGCTGGCAGCAGGCATGAGGATGGCAGGGAGGGCACAGGAAGGTGGTGTCTGGAGGAAGCCTGTTGGTGCTGTCTCCAGTGACCATCCCCAGGGGAGAGCAGCAAGGGGCCCCGAGGAGGGCACAGGGGCGCTCACTCGCATGAGACTTGCTCAGTCTTTCCACAGCCTTCTTCCAGACAGTGGGGGGCACCCACCTGACCCCACCTAGAGGCACCTGAGCTGTCTTGCCACTCCACAAGTGAACAGTGATTTCTTCTTCCTTTGATGCTATGAAATGGAAAAGGGCAACACTGTATTATAATTAACCTCTTCTTTGGGCTCTTCTATCGCCACTGGCAAGGCCTCAGCTGGGCCGCTCTGGTCTCTTCTTCCCTGTACTTCAGTAGCCACCTCATCCTGGCCACATGCTCCAGCCCTCTGCCTCCTGGGTGACAAACTGAGCTGGAGGAGTCTGTTTTTCACACCACCAAAATGCACCCTCAGTAGACACTTCTTAGCATCGTGTAAAGTACAAGTGGACTGGGGCGGGGGGGGCGGGGAGATGGCTCAGTAGAATAAGCGCTTGCCTGGCAAGCGCAAGGGCCTGAGTTCAATCCCCAGTTACACACACACACACACACACACACACACACACACACACAAAAGAAAAAAACCCCACAAATGGGCTGACTGTCACATATGAAATGATGGTCAGTCCCTGGGGAACCTGATGAGGGAGGAGCAGTAAGTTCTGCTGCAATCCCAAGTGAATACTATGGTTTCACTAACCAACACAGACAGGGAAGCTATAGGTTACTTTCCCTGATTTAAAAAAAAAAAATACAGTCTGAAAAACACAATTTCTAAGCCAGGCATGGTAGTACATGCCCATAATTCCAGTACTATAGTAAGCTGAGACAGGAAGATCACACGCCAACCTGAGCTACATAATAAATTCAAGGCCAGTCTGAGCTACACCAAAACAGCCCTATCTCCAAAAACAAAACAAAACAAAAACAAATGATTAGATATCTATTGGTGCCCAGAGTTAAGTGGCAAGAATTCTTCTTTTAGGTGGATGAGATAGCTCAGCAAACTAAGCACCTGCTTAGGCAAGCTCAAGGACCCAGGTTTGATCCCGGGCACCACATCCCGAACTGGCCCTGTCACTGGGCATGCTGAGCTGGCCATCAAGACCGGGCGTGGTGGCACATACCAGTAAGCCCTGAGCTGTGGAGGCTGAAAACAGGAGGATCAGTATGAATCAGAGCTGCATAGTGAGACCTTATACCAAATACATTTTTTAAAAAATTGTTTTTTAGGGGCCGGGGAGATGGCTCAGTGGAATAAGCGCTTCCCTGGTAAGCACAAGGGCCTGAGTTCAATCCCTGGTGTGGCCAAAAATAAAATAAAATAATAAAATACTTTTTAAATGGCTTGAACACCTCTAAGCTCTGGCCTGATCACAATCTTGGCTCCCTCTGGGGAGCAGCTTCCCTTACCTTGCATCTCTGAGCCCAAGAGGACAGTGCCAGGACCATATCGCTGTTGCCCTGGCTCCCATGCTGCCAGTACCTTGTCCCCAGGTCGCAGTGAATATTCCACGTATGGTGAGAGCTGAACAACATCTTCTTCTGAGACCACACTCTGCCTCTGGGCTGGCAGTTTGGGGTCTGTGACAAAGGGAGCCTCAAACTCCACAAGCAGGATCCCTTGCCTCTCCAGCTGTGGGAAAGAACAGAAAAGATTTGACCTTAGAAAGGAAGACAGGGAGGCTCTGATTCCCTTGGATACCCCAGAATCAGGGCCCAGTCTTGTTATAGAGAGGAAACCCTGTTGAGAACGGACAGGAACAGGCATGCTTGCCGCTGATTAGAGTGGAGTCGAGCAGGCTGTTGGCTGCTGCTGTTCCCTTCAATGCTTCTCGCCATGGGCAGCTCTTCTTTCTCACAATCTGCCTTTCCCTTTCCAGGCTCCTCCTTTTCCTGGTTTTCTTTACTCCCAACAAACTTCTGGCCTGCAATTCCCAGGAATAGCCTGGGTCCTCTGGATCTTTCCTCAACTCACGCCCTTCCTCCAAACACTACCAAGAAGAGTTGTTCCCATGTCCAGGACCCACCAGGGATGGTTTGTTATTCATCTACCTGCCCACATGGACAAGGAGTTATTGTGGCTGTGAGGGACCCCTCAATCTGTCCTTAGAATTAGAGAAGAAATGTTCAGCTAAGTAAACCAATAACATGCAAACCAAAAGGACTTAAACTAAATAAGGGGGCCTGGCCCTAGCTCAGTTCTTTAAGTGGCTGCTTTCACCAAGCTGTTAGCCTCAGGTGGCTCTAGTTCAATCCCCACAACTCTCCAGCCAGCCAAACAAGCCCTGAGGGCATTCGGAGCAAAAAAAATAAAATAAAAATAAACTAAATAAAAGTAGAAATTGTCTGAGTACTCAGGATCTTAAAGAGAAAGTAGTATATTTTTAACAAATCTCTAGAGAGGATGGCAAGATCTATATTTGAGCCAAAACTCAGCTAACGTTTAATTTGAATTCACCTTTTATTAAAAAAACGATAAATTACTTTTGATTTGAAATTCCACAATTATTTTCTTGTTTTGTTTTTGACACTTCATACTAGTCTTCCCTCCATTGATCCACACTCCTAGTCTGATTTTGAAAAGCCCCAAAGAAGTAAGTAGCCCCTAAAGGAAAACCCAGCCCAGGCTCCTGGCCACATTGCAGAGCAAGCTCAAGTGTATGTGAGCAGGCACACTTTGCCCTTTCTTTTAGGCTGTACCTATAATCAGACACACTGGATTTTCCTAAACAAAACACTATGGGTAGAATTGTGGCCCCCTTCCCACCAAATTCACCAGCTGAAGTCCCAGCCTCCACAACTCGGAAGGTAATTTTACTTGGAAACAGGGTCACTGCAGGTATAATTAGTTCAGACAAGGTCAGGATGAGCATGGCAGACAACATCAGAGTGTATTCAGTTGTGGTATTTGGTTATGGAGTCCTACCAAACTAATATACCCACTGCTCACTTGTATAATCTGGCTAAGGGAGATCTATCGAAGAAACCACACTATCGGCCAAATAGTTGTAAGGCAAATCAGGTACAACAGGGGCCACCCAGAGGAGCCTGCCAGGAAGATGCTCGGAGTTAGGGACTCACCTCTGGAGCAGGCTTTATCTGAGCCGGGTAATAAAATCCATCTGGTTCCCTCCTTGCCAGGACCCAGGTGTTCGCAGCCTCTCTAACTCTTCCCAGCCAGCCAGGGTCCTCCCAGGCTGGGTCAGCAATGTGGAGACATGGGTGATGCAAAGCATACCTGGAAAACAGCAAACTGAATTATGGGCAGATACTAAAATCCTAAAAACATCAAGAAATATATTTCACAGTTAGCTCTAAGGAGCACCACGGCATGTGAATGACATAGAATGGGATCCGGAACAGAAATCCATGGGGAATGTGGCAAAATGCATCACTTCTGATATGGTAAACTTTTGAGAGAGCAGAAAGTAAAGGCACCAATAAACTTAAATATATATATATATATATATATATATATATTTTTTTTTTTATTTTTTTATTTTTTATTTTTTTAAGAAGGTGAAGACACTAAAGGGAACCTTTTTTTTTTTCCTGTGGCAGACTCAGCCCACTCTGGGAGCCAGGCTGGAGCGGAATGTGGTGCCAGGGATTGAACCTTGGTCCCTGCTGTTGCCAGAGCTTGCCTAAGCAGGCACTTTGGACCATTGAACTATCTTGCCAGCCCATGGAACCATTGTTTTTGGATTGGGAACTGAAACATGATTGGCCTTGAGTATTCAAGTTAATTAATGCTTGTTGAGAGTGAACAATAGACCAGAAAGAGTGCCTGGAAGTGACACCTAAGATACCAGTAAAAATGGACTCCCAGCCTTATCCTGGACCAAGTGGAGTGGATGGCAGTACCAGGAGCAAAACCGTAAGGCCCTCAGCACTGCGGGGTCGAAGGATGGAGAAGGGCTGCAGCAGGGGCAGCACAAGGAGCTGGGTCTGGGAGCTGGGCAAGAAGATGAGAGACCAGGTCTGGGGAAGTGTGTGGGCCAGGTCAGTTGGCCTTGGAGAGGTGGAGAGTGGGTATCTGGGTTTTTGGAGAAGCTGTTTCATGGTTAAGCCTGAATATGTAGATGCTTAACCCGGCCTTGAACAGAATGGTAACTGCTCAAAGGGAAGGAACAACTGGGGTGAGAGAAAGGAGAAAAGAAAGAAGGGGGGGAAAATATATATATATATATATATATATATATATATATATATATATATATATATGGGATAGCTTGGATAATTGTACTGCTGATCTCTACTGGTCTATTGAAAGGAGCAGTTAATGCTTTTTTTTTTTTCCTTTTTAATATTTTTGACCAATTTTGCATGCTTGTACCTGACAATCTGAACAACTAATTTGAAGACAACAATATGCAACTTAACAAACATTGTTGAATTCTTATCATTTTGTTTAATGAAATTCTGTAGCATTTCTTATCTTTCTTTTTATTTATTTATTTAAAGAAAACAAGAAAAGAGAGCAGTGAAAAACCATCCAGGTTGACCTGTTCCTAACCCAGGCAAACTGAACTGAATAACACAGAAATGAGTCCTAGAATTTAAATAAAATTTGCATATTTACATTCATTATAGACTTTTTTTATTAGTACATGGTTGCAATACACAATGAATACATTTATCTTGAGGAGCTGGTATATGTACATTTGCATCTTAATCCTTTTTATTTCCCCTTTCCTCCTTCTCCTCTCTCTTCCCCATCTATCTCTGGTTCCCTTCCTATTTAAAAAAGGTCTCCCTCCCTGTTTTCTATTATCTTTTATTATGTTCTGTGAATTATTCACACTTTGCATCCTTTGTCCTTTTGCAGTTGTACTTGAGACAGCTAACTGAGGACACTATTAAAGAAAACCCTGGAAAGCTGAGGACTTTCAACTGTCATATATGGTTAGGATTTGAGAAAGAAGGGTGTTGGCTCTATGCTTGTGTAACTTCTGTGCTGAGTTATGACTCAGCTAATAATATACAGAAAACGTCTGAGAAAAGTAGCTTGATATATGGTTAGATCTGCCTCCCTCCTTCCCAGTGACAGGAACTCCACAGACCCCAACCCTGATGACAGCTGAAATGCATCTAGGATGAATTCTGAGGGAACCCACAGGGGAGCCTGGAAACCTCAGCTCGGTTGTTGGTGGCAGCGAGCCTAATTTCTCACACATTGCCTCAGCCAGTCTCACTGTTTAGGGTAAAATGAGCTAGAAATCATTTACTTGGTCAGTACTGACTGCTTTCACTCAACTGCGGTAGCCACAGCTCTGCTACAAGCCAAGCCATAGCCTCCTCCCTAGAGGTCACCAGGAGTACAGTGTAAGCCACAGTACGAGACTTTTACCGCATGCAAACCCCAGGTCAGAAATCAAGTTCTCTCCTTCTTGGGGCACACCATTCCCTGCAGAGGGGTGAGAACAGTACCTGGTGAAAGCGTGGGTCCTGGGAAACCCAGGAGTTCTGCGGGCAAAGGGGCAGGCGCAGGAGAGGTCTGTGGGTACTGCTGCACAGCCCCAGCCAGGGGCCTTCAGGGTTGTGGTCACACTGCAGTACTTCGGCAAAGGTACTGGGGGTACAGCAGGATTGTGGGAAGCCATCTGGAACAAGCACCGTGATTACCGGAGTTCATCCACAGCCCAGCAGAGAGGGCCCCAGTGGGCCCTCTCTGGGGACAGCTGTGTCCTTGCACCGCCCCCACCTGCTCCACAGACACCGGGGTCCCCATTGGATCTTCGGCCTCAACAATGGCCTCTGTGCAGGAAGCCCCAGAGGAGTGGGAAGAACAGCAGCTGTGATTCTTAGAAAAACTCCACTATAATATCCTTCTTGGCTGGTCAAATAGCTCAGGATGGCTGAATAGCTCAGCGGATTAAAGCACCTGCTTAGGCAGACGCAGAGTTAGGGTTCAATTCCCCAGGTGTGGTCCATTCATGCCCCAGGGGTGCCCTGAGACCGTGATTGAGACTGGATGTGGGGATCACCATGAGTCCATTGTACATAGTGAGACCCTGCAGGCCCTGTCAAAAATATTAAAAAATACTCCACAGCCTCGTGGTTGGGTATTAAACTTCTATACCTCTGCTGCAGCTCTCAGGAGGTCATACCTCAAGATCCCTTAGTGATTTTTTCTTTCCTCCTCCCTGGGCCCAGGAAGCCACCCTTCTCTTCACAAACCCCAACCCTGACAAACCGGTCTCCTCCCCTGCAGGACTAACTCTGGTCCATGCTGAGCTGACACTGCAGAGTCATGGCACCCATCAACCTTCTCAGAGGTGACAGCCACCACCCAGGGTCCATATTCAAACTTGGCCACCCCAGCTCACCAGACTCTGTTAGGCTCTGTCCTGCCAGGTCCACAGGTCTCACCCCAAAGAGACTCACAACCTTAAAGCAGGCCTCCTCACCTCAGCCTCTGGCCCCTTCTGACAGTTGGAGCTCAGGGCCTCAGCCCAACTGACTCCTTGTTGCCCAGCATGTTGCCATGGATGCAAGCAGGCAGGGCAGTCTGGGCCCCTGGGAACATAGAGTATGTGTGGAAGGGTGCCAGGAGGCCTTGAGAGATAGGAGCACAGAGAGAGTAGTCTCTCTCTCTCTCTCTCTCTCTCTCTCTCTCTCTCTCTCTCTCTCTTTCTTTCTTTCTTTCTTTTTTTTTTTGGTGGTGGTATGAGGGAGATTGGGTTTCCCTACTGCCAGCAGAGTCAACCACTGCATGAGGGCCATCTCATGGATCCCAAGGGAACCCTGTGTGCATGGTGAGGGAGAGATTTCTCCCCTGTGCAGGCATGGGGACTCTCAGGGAACTTTCCTGTAGTTTAAAACAAAATAATCACAGGTGTGGGCAAGTTTGTCTGAGGCAGACAAGGCCCTGCTGAGGAGCAGAGAGATGGTGATCCCTAGGAGGGCAGGGAGTAGACAATGTGACCAGAGGAACAGCAGAGGCCAGGTCTGGATTCTGCTTACTTGAACACCCCCATGAGGCTGGTATCTGAGGACCTGAACGTCACTGCGCACTGTGTTTAGTGCAGAATACCACCAAGATATGCAGGGACGTTTGTGGATGTCTCCCCCACATCCCCTCCCCTCTTCCACCCCCTGCCGTGTCTGTGCATTCATATGGGTAGAGAGGCTGACTGTACCTCCAGGTGTGTGTGTGTGGGGAATGTGTGTCAATTAGGGGTTCTTAGTACCTCTCTAGTCAGAGTGAACCTTGAGGCTCTTATTGGGAACATTGGGTTATAGACTTTCTCTTGCTTCCTATGCATGAATAAGAAAGCATATAATTCAGAGAGCTTTTGATAGCCTTTTCAGGACACCGAAACTATTTCCAGAGAAAGAGAAGATAGACCTAACAAAAACAGACCCAGGGACAACAGATTGTTGGCAACTAAGTCCTCCAGTTACGTGAGACAACACATTTCCTTTATTGATGATGCCAGCTGGATTGTGTTTTCTCTTTCCTGTAATTGAAAGCATCAGGGGCCGGGGAGATGGCTCAGTGGAATAAGCGCTTCCCTGGCAAGTGCAAGGGCCTGAGTTCAATTCCCGGTTCCGCAAAAAGAAAAAAAAAGAAAGCATCTTAGGTGCAGACTTTCCTCATAGAGCATAACTTTGTAGTCAGCAAAGTAATGGTGGTCTAGACTCACTCCTTAATGGATTAGTGACTTGGCAAACAAGTTCAGAGCCTACAAAAGACTAAGAAGGTTGGCAGTGAGGGAATTATTTCTGAATAGGATGGTAAGATTTCAGTGGTGGAAGGGAAAAGACTATGCCTGTTTAGAAAGCAAGAGCCAAGAGAGAAGGATGCCTTTGCTAGACTGATTTTCTTTGGGGAGCAGATCAGGTATCCTGGGAATGGCAAGGCATGGCTATTTGAGAAGGGAACAGATTGCATTGTGCCTTGAAAAGTGAGCAGATAAATTTAAACAACATGGTAGTCAAAAGGAGCTTATCTGGCAGTCTGACCAACACAGCCGAAATGCTTTAAGAGAATATCACAGAATGGAAGCAGAACCAGTGGTGAATAGAGCTCAAGAGGACAGAGAGGAGATGGTTAACCATGATCCAGGTGACAGGACTGGAAAAGGAAAATAGTAACAGTGGTATTTACTGACACCTACCTGACTTGAGGCTTTTCGCAGGATACAAGGAATGTAGGGTGAATAAGACTGGTATCGGTCTTTAAGGAGCTTATGAACTACTAAAAAGACAGGCAGGTATGTAAGGTATATAAGGACAGAAGAGGGGTAACTGCAAGAAAAACACATTTACAAAATAAAGATGCAAGCAATGGCTGAGAATGGAAGTTGGGAAACACTTCACAGAGACAAAACAATGTGACAGACAGCTCAAGGGAAATCTTAGTAGGACTTGGTGACAGATGGGACTGGGAGCTGAGGGACAAGAAGAGCTGAAATGAGCCATGGGAGTAGAAATAGAACACTGGTGAAGGTGAGGAAAGTCTGGAAGGCCTAGAGGATGTGATATTACAGACAGTATGAGATAGACAATTGTAAATGATTAAAAATGGTCATGAATACATATCAGGTGTCAGGCAGAGTAAATACTAAAAAAAAAACCCATTTGGTGAGTCATTGTTTTTCTTAGTTTGTGGATGAAGGACACATAAAAAGCACACAGAAAGAAGGAGGTACAGCAATACTTCTAATAGGCAGAATCTGCAGAGTGCCTTCTGGAGTTCTGTATGAGCAGAGTACGAAGTCTAGGTGCAGGAGAGAGAGGAGTCTGAAGTTATTTCGAAAACAACAAAGTTTTGTGATCTGTATTTGCGAAGATGGTTTTTCTCATCATGGTTTTTCTTCAACTCTGAATTTTGACAAATCAAGGGAACTTCATTGTGATTGCTTAGTAAGAAGTATTTACAGCATATGTGACAAGCATCATGTAGTCATTTGTCAGACTTGCCATGCTGTTGTGGAAGTTTGTCACACCTGGGACTCTGGCTAAGTGTGTGAGAAGGACAGAGTGACAGACCCAGGAAACCCTGGAGAAACCTACTTCTCTAGAGCTCTTGGAAGGAATGAGCAAAGCATGTTCTGGTCTATTCAAAATTTTAGTACATCTAAATCCCAGACAAGGAATACGCAGTATAGGTTGGCACTGGCGCTACTATTTGCCCGCACAGGAATTACATTTAGGAAAAACTATTGAGTGATGTTTCAAGAGACTCCATTCTGTGCATTTCTTTTGTTGAAAAGCCTAGCTCAGACGATTCTGAAAATAGGGTCAGCGTGGCGGCTGGAAGTTGCCATTAGGGCAGAGCCTTTCCCAGGGTTATTCTGGGTCTCAGCTTTATCGGGATACAGAAGAGACTGCAGGTAGCTAATGTATTTGATTGCAGCTCGGAGAGTTTCCACTTTGCTGAGTCGCTTCTCCAAGTACTCCTCCGGCAGATGATGTCGGAGCTGGGCGTAGCCCTCGTTGACACACTTCACACGCTGCCTCTCCCGCTCATTCCTTTTCCTGATGAAGGCAGGCCCATAGGAGTACTCACATCTTCTGTAATTCGGATAAGGCATCGGAAAGGGAAAAGGGTAGGGCTCACCATAATTTTCCAGGATCAGGGAGTCACTAGTAAAAGGCAGCAATGACAGCTCTTCAGAGTAAGGGGGTGGCACCTGGGCCTCAGGGTACAGGTGGAAAGTGACCATGGGGTCCAGGTAGAAGGACCTGGGTAGCGGCAAGTGGGAGGACTCAGAGAAGACAGGAAATGTGTCTTGTGGATTAGAGTGGCTTCTATTGTCCATTATTTCGTCTTTAACCTAGAAATATACAACCAAGTTTATTAATTTGGCCAGTTCAAGAGAGCAGGCTACTTTCTTAGTGATCAGCACTTCAAAGATTTAAGGTTTTGATGACTAGTTCTTGAGCTTGCTCCGAAAAGGAGAGAAAGGATTTTTTTTTTAAGATAGATTTCAATCTTGGTTTTACCCTTTCCTTGCTCTGTGTCCTTTGGCAATTTTAACCTCTACGAGCCTCAGTTGTTTCCCACGTCCACTTCAGATATTAACTATCCTGCAGGGTGGTTGTGAAGGTTAAAATTTAAAAGGCACACATAATGCATCGTACACAGAGTTCTTTTCCTCTCTCCTCTCCACAAATGGATACTTGTATAGTAGTATCTTTTTCTCTATACCTTATGGAAAACCTGGTTCCAATTTTCCAAACACCAGAAAATCAAAATATTGATCAATTTGTTGAGATCTGAAGAAAACACTTAGAATGGAAAAAGGAAAGCAATTTGAAGTCTAATTGCTGATCTCCATAAAACATGCAGCTATTGTTTTCTCAAGGCCCCCCCCCACAATATCTTTAGGAGTGAAGAGGTCTCTGAAGGCTTCTTTTATTTTGGTACTGGGGATCAAATGCAGATCCTTGTGCTTTCCAGGCAGGTGCTTATGCTGGCTTAGCTGTATCCCAGCCCCTCTGAAGGGTTCTGTAAACATAGTAGCATTTAATGAAAAAGAGGCAAAACACTGCCAAAGCAGTCAGAATTTATGGGTAAGATTAGATAATGGTGGTCCTGGTTTGTCTGGGGACAGCAAGAACTCTGTAGGTTCTGCTATGTTCTGGAAGGTGTGGTAGTCAAGACCAGAACTCAGGTGTATGCCAGTGCTTGCAAAAAGACAAGAAATATAGAAAGACAAAAAAGTTAGTGGAGGGTGGAGGGTGGGATGAGGAGTGGGGAGAGTTATGAGGTATGGCGGACAGGCTGGAAAAGGAGCTGGTGCCAGGAAGAGTCTTCCTATGAAGGTGCAGGGGAGGAAGAGATAAGTAGGACAGAACTAATTAGAAATCAGAGAGGATCAGGAAATGAAAGATCCCAAACTGCTGACCAAATGACCTAAAATAACTAGCATAAAACAAAAATGTTTAGGAGATTAAAAACTAGCCAAGTTTCTGTCAAAAGGAAAAGTTGCTGAGAGAAGCTAGTTAGGAAATTCCCAACCAGGAATTCCAAAGGGTAAGAGATAAGGGCATACAAAATGATGGCAAATTGACATACAGCCTGCCCTACTAAGTTTCTAACAAGAGCTTTACTTTTTGCCTACAGCTAACAAGCCAGAATTAACAACAGGTTCCCCCAAAGTAGAGCAAATGTCATCAAAACCAAAAATGCAAAAATGGTATTTTTGGGTATGGTTTTAGCCTACAAGATAACTTAGATAATATTGTAACTCATGACCCACATGAAATCTGAGTAATTTGTATCTGCCACAAGAAGTTACATTTCTAGGTTCTTGAACAAGATTGCATAATTTTTTGAAAAACAGGGTGTCTCCTGAGACAGCGATGAGCAATTTTTGCTGCTGAGGCTTTCCAGTAAGTCCACCAAGCAATGCAGCAGCCTTTAGAGATGCTCATCTTTTATTTATGCAAAGAAGAAAGATGTAAGACAACAGAGTAAGAGAATGGAAAAAATTGCAGCAATGAAAATAATTAAGATAGGAAGCCCAATGGAGTCTAAGGTGTGTGTGTGTGTGTGTGTGTGTGTGTTAGGAATCAAGTGAACTTTATTTTAAAAGAACACAACACACATTGTTAGTGCTGGGTCTCTATGGTTCTAGATGCACATACAGCTAACACTCACCTTGGGAAGATCTTAAGTTTCTATCTCAGAGCTCTTCTGGGAAATAATGAGGTCTTAATAATAAAATTGTAAGAGGTTCTTGATACACTGCTGAGCATAAAAGCTTCTACTTTCATACATTAAAAATATAAGTGGGATGTCAAAACTAAAAAGCTTCTACTGCACACATAATTACGGGATGTCAGAAGAGGGAAAAAGCGGAGAAACCCTCTTCTCCCATCCATCACAGGTTGTCAAGGTTGCTAAGCTAGTAGCAGAGCAGGGGCCAGACCTGCGGTCCTGAACTTCCAAACCAAAAAAGGAGTGCTTTCCACTCCTCCAGGTGATTTAATCACCAGTAAACTCTGGATTTTATAGTGTAATAATTGATATTTAATGAAATAATCAGATTACTGACAAAATTTACCATCTATCACCATGCCTAAGGGTTTTCTTAAAAATCATGCTTTTATCCTCCCCTGCTGACCATTTTTGCAAGGTGTCTCTTACCTGAGTTTTGTTGCTCACGTTGCTGTATTTTGGGCTGAGTCTGAGTTAATCTGATTTATAGGCGGTCATCTAGTGACAATATGCAAAGTAGCTTATAGTTAAACAGAACTACTTGGCTCTAGTTTAGCTGGTTTTTTCCTAGCTAATATGTAGATATGACAACATATAATACTAAAGAGAAAGAGTTGCTCACACAATTGGACACTTGTAACACATTTTTGTTTAAAGGATGTGCCCTCTTCATCTGGGTTATATGATTTTATATGAATTATTTATGGAAAATATCTTTACATAATAATCTCATAATCTGCAAATATTGGTCAATATTCTTTTAGAAATATTTAGGCAAGAATGAGGAAGGTCAATATGAATTTAGTCTTTAAAAATATGAATTTTATTTTTTCCTCTTAGGTAGACTTCATTTTTTAGGGTAGCTTTAGGTTCGTAGCAAAACCGAACAGAGTCATTGCACAGACCTCTCCACTATCAACATCCTGCCCCATGGGGGTAACTTTGTTATAATTGATGAACCTAAAATGGATGACACGTCACCATTACCCAAAGTCTAGAGCTTCCATTAGGCTTCATTCTTGGTGCTCTACATTTACATTCTGAGCCTGGACAAATGCATAATGGCCTGTATCTACTGATAGTGTATCATTCAGAGTGGTTTTAATGCTCTAAACATTCTCTGTGCTGCCTGTTCATGTCTCCCTCCCTGTAACCCTTACAACCACTGATCATTTTCTGTCTCTACGGTTTGCATTTTCCAGAAGATCATATAATTGGAACCAGTTAGTGTGTAGTCTTCTCAGATAGGGCTCTTTCACTTAGCGATAAACATTTAAAGTTCTTCCATGCCTTCTCGTGGCTTGAAAGCTCATTTATTTTTAGCACTGAATAGTGTACCATTGTGTGGACATACCAGCAAATTTATCAGTCTCCTAAAAGACATTTTGTCTGCTTCTAAATTTTGAGTAATCATGAATAAAGCTTCTATTTTTAAAATTAATTTTATTGAGAAACAAATAGCAATGAAACAGTTTCAAAACAGGTTAGTAGGACAGTTATAATAATTAATACATTGCATATTGTTGTCTTCATAGTAGTTATTCATAGTACAAGATGCAGACATGATATCCTGTCCAAACGCTATTAGTACAAATCTTTC